GGCCTCGAATGAAGAGTGGTTACCATTGGTCACTACTTGAAAGGATCTTCCTTCCAAATAACTACTTATCAAATTCACAATTCTGGAATGGATACCTATTTTTCTTAGCTTGATTAACAATTTGTTATGAGGGACTCTATCAAATGCCTTTTCGAAATCAAAGTAAATCACGTTTGCTCCTTAGGAATTAAGGAGTTATCTTACAAATGTTTAACAGTCCTTTTCTTTAGAATCTTCTCAAAAACTCTAGCAAAGAGTGAAGTGAGACTAATAGGCTTATAGTTTGCAGGGTCATCACCTGGTGGTTTTTTCCGTATGGGTACTACAAACGAATGCTTCCAACGGAGCGGTACATCTGCATACATAAAACTGTAGTTGAAAATCAGCTCTAATGGAAACGAGATATTGTGCGCAACTTTTTGAATAAACCGAAAAGGGATACCGTCAGGGCTCAGACTAGAATTTTTCCTCTATTTTAGTAAGACCTCCAATATTTCATTCCTAGTAAACCACACCGAGTCGGGCATAGGAGGGTTTCGTGCATCCCAGACGGGGCGATAACTGACAGTGATTCAGTGGATCTGAAAACCTTAGCAAAATGGTTAGCCAAAATTTCAGCGTTTGAGCAGTCACTAAAGGAGTGTCTACCATCAGCGCCTACAAGCGAGATGATACCAGCGACTTTCTTGTGCTTAGACTTGATCGAACTAAAGAATAGAGCAGGCTTCTTCAACTCAATAACCTTCCTTTCTACAGAGGCATTGTATTTAGCCAATTTTTTCACAGAAATTCCATTGGCAGATGAAAATTCCTGAAGATTGGTTCGTGAAGGGTGCAGCTTAGCCTTAAGCTATGCTTAGGTCCCAGCAGAAAAAAGTCGCTTCAGATCATGTGGCATCTTGCCTGAGCTAGACCTTTGCCAAAAGGGAACATATAAGGAGATGGCGCGCTTTAAAACAAAAAGAAAAAACTTGCACATTTGATTGGCTGAACGTAGACGGCCCAGTGACCCCAGCCAGTCTACATCTTCCAAGAATCTATTAATGGCATGAAAATCAGCCCTAGTGTAATCACGAAAGAAAATCTTATTCTCCTGTGGCTGAGGCACACATACGTTGAACTCAATGCAACAGTGGTCACTTGTACTAATCGGAGGACCTATGACTACATAAATCAAGGATGCGGTGAAGCCTAGTAGTTTGGGTAACAAATTGAGAAATACAATGGGAACTGAGTAATTCTAAAGAGGATTTGCTAGGTTTCATTACTGCAAAGGGAGGATCAGTCCAATCGATATCAGAATTGTTGAAATCTCCAACGATAACGCAGGGTTGGTCACAGGCTACTAAATCGCTTAATGCTCGTAACATTGCTCATTCATGTCAGCACGACAATCTGGAGCGCGATATACGCAAATAACTCTAATAAAGGTTGAGCTGAAGGCATAATCGTAGCCAAGGATTTCATAACCCTCAAACACCGTTTCTTTGGAAATCATTCTGTAATGAGCGTTCTTTCTAGAGAGCAATACAACACCTCCACCATTTCTTTTCTGAGTCTGTCACATCGTACCTAATTATAGTCAGATAATAAGGGGTAAAGTAAAGAAGCTGTCTCGATAGTGGGCTTTAGCCAAGACTCAGTGATTGCAATTAGGTCATATCTGTTTTCGATAATTGAGTATACCAAATGGTGAGCGTTTTTGGTAAGCGGTCTAACATTTACTACTAAACATTTTGAAGAATAGTTCGTGTTCCAACGATACAAATCTAGTTTGAAGAAGCAGAAACAGAAGGGCTATGAAAGAGGAGGAGCAGTGCTCTGAGGCGAACTATAAATTGGTTGAGTCGGAACTTGAGAAGGAGGAAGTGCAACAGATGCAACAGACACAGCAGAAGAATTACCAAATCCAGACTGGAAATTTGGAATGTTGCGAGCAGTGTGCTGCTTATTAACACGTAGATGGGGGTTGATCCAAGGAGAACATTTTGCACGTTCGGCTTTAGTCAATGAAGGTCTTATGAAAATACCCAATTTATTAGAGAAACGCATGCGAGGGGCATTTTTTAATATTAGATCACGGTAAAAGCGGCAAGGAAAAACAACCTTCATCAATCTTGCCCCACCATCCATCGGTCTCCAGAGGTGGTAAAAGGCCTGTGGGCCACATTCAATTGAAAGGAAATCAAGAACGTTCCGCAAATAGTTCCCGTCACGTATCCCTCTTGAGACAGCACTAGGATGGGATAATTCGAGCATATTAGAGATAACTACGGAGCGCAAGCGTTCCTTTTCCTCGATAAGATGAGACAAATCAGCTTTTTCAATGGTGTTTCCTACAGCAGTGGAATGATTTACATTATTGAGATTTCCGTCAGAATTAACATTTTTCGTTGGAAGCAACATCGAAGCGTCTACACCCGAAGACTGTACCATCTTAGCGAAGTCACATTTCAGGTTGCTTACTTCACCTTCGAGTTCTTTGTATCGACCGATCGCTGCATCCATTTGATCCGCATAGTCGAGCACATAATTGAAGAGGGTCTTTTCATAAGCCGGGATAGAATCGTCATTTTTCAACTGCCTGATCGCACTTCTAATCCGCGAATCCATAGTGATCGGCGAAAGCTCGATCCTGTTCCTTTTAGCCCCCTGAACGGCAGAGCACGGGGAATTGTTACTAATCATGACGATCGCGAGATGAGCAACGTTCAATTCGATTTCTAGCAGATCAAATCAAATCAATAGCCGCCGAGTTGACGCCGAATTGAGTGAAACTAAATAAACCTGATGTGATGGCTTTAGAAACTTTTACAAGTCACTCCCCGCCACGGGAGAGTTCAGATGAGAAGCGTCGAAGACGTAGAAGACACGACCGACGCACAGTTATTGGAGTATAGACGGTTCCCGGAAATTTTGAGCGTTGAAGCTCTTGGGAATGTTCTTCCTTTCGTTGCCATTTGAAAAGGTCATTTTGCAAGAAATACAATTTTTTGGAGGTAGGTGATTGTATATTGGCCAACCACCGCAAATCATTGTATGGACCGCATGTGCCACTACGATTATGAATCGATGTTGAATGTGGGAGCGCACAATTCAGAGGGGATTAGTTAACTTTCATCGCACTATTTTCCACCTCATCGTCCATTTTTCATCATAACCCCGGTTACCCAAAATTATCGTAAACCGAGCCCCTAAATTACTTGAAGTTCCACCTTGGCAAAAGCCTGCATCGTCTCTGCTCAATAAACCGATCCCCTCTTGAGAGTTAGTGGCTTTTTCAATTGCGGTCGTTGCCAGACGATGTGAACCAGCCAATGGCAACTAGGCATGAGAGAAGAGTGGCCACTCATGGGGCAGCCCCCTACCGCGCCACCAAGCTCGGCGCGTCGTGGCGAGTTCGAGCGCTAATAAGTCTG